CCTGTAAGGTGAACTGCCGTTGAGATCAAGTTCATTCCAAAAAGAATAGCAGAGGAGAATAAAAGGCGAACACAGACCTAGGAGATGAAATTTACGCTAATTTTACTCCAATCTGAGTAATCTTCCTTGCGAGCATTACTCAGAAAAAGGGCGAGGTGGTGTAGCGTTATGTGACGCCATATACCACACAAGTGGTCCGGGGTTCAATCGGGGATCGAGCATGTGCATTCAAATGCCACTACGATTATAAATGATAGAAGGATGCGTGGCGCATCTTGGAAGCCTTCACTACATTACTCAAACAAAACGCCTACTTCACCTCTTCACTGTGAGTGTTTCGGAACTGCTCCGGCTGGTTGATATGAAGACGTGATGACAGTGCCGAAAGGGGAGCATACAAACGATTTCTGAAACTTACTTATTAATAAACAATAAGCAGAACGTCATCGAGACTTCAACAACAACAGTCTTTTTGAGCCTTTTTTGAAATCAAGGATGAATTATTCATGTTTGCCATCAGCTCAACAATGATCCCAATCCTATAGGAAAATTGTGCAAACTGCGCTGAATCATACTGCATGTCCAGGGCCCGAAAGCAAACATATTAAAAGTGTATCGACAACCTAAACAATAGAACATTCCTCGAAAAGTTAATTACAAACGGCATCCCGCCTGGAATTCTGAGATATTAATAACATTCTGAGGTTGAATGATACAGAGAATTAAATCGGTTTTTTTTGGAAAAAAAGTACAAAAAACTCCGACAAATTTTCGATAGCCAATTCAAAAAATTCATCGAGAAGCTTATGCAGAAACTTTTCAAGGAATTCTTCCAAACTGTCAAATTGAAAAATTTCAAGATGCAAACAATCTTTTTGACATCTTGAAATTTTTCAAAATTTATTGATGGTGCTAACATTTATTTCGCAGGTTCCTGGATAGCCCATGAAAAAAATCGAATTAAATGATTTAAAGAAAAGCGGAGCAAACCAAATTGGTAAAAGACACATACCTTTTGTTCTCTGCAGAACTAGTGGAAGACGACGGTTCGTGTCGAGCTAGTTCTACGCTTCTTTCTGATGTACTGGGCTGAAAAAAAAACTACACTTAAACCACTCATCAAGACAAATGAAGCGCCACGTTGTGGCAGTCGGAGAACACTTACACCAAGCTCAAAAAGGTGCAATTCCATTCAAAACAGCAATGGAATGTATGAGACAAAGTAAATCTACGCGATCGAAGTGTCACTGCTCAGATTTTACCATGACAGACATATTTTTCATCAAAAAATCAGAGAAATAGCGAATTGGTGTGTGAAGAGTCGTGAAAACTGCAACTTTTGCGAGAAAAATCTTCTGTGTCTCTCAAGAGCTTCAAGCATGTAACCAAAGGTAATATTTGAAAAGCAAATACCTTCATCGAATTGTCGACAACAACAACGTCGTCCTCTAGAAAAATCGGACACCTCGATCCAAAGTGCGGTCTGAATGCGTTCAGTGAGCGAAGGAGAATGTTAAAAGGTCATGCTATTGTTTGCTTTGGATGAAACTGGTTGCTTGTGCATCAAAGAGGAACAGCTGTTAAACTGCATCCGGTAATAAAAAATGCCATCAAAATTATTCATGATTAGAGGAAGAGGATGGAGCACCCTCATCAGTAAAACCCAATATTTCAGAGAAGGATACAGCAAAGTAGGTGAAATTCGATGTTAACAGGCTGTACACAAAGGTCACTACTCTTATAGGCCAGAGATGATCAATAAGTACGTGCCCACCTTTTTATCGAAAAAAAAACTCATAGCCGATATACAAACAAACGCTTACTGAATCACTAGCCATAGTTCAAATAGGCAAACCGAATCTTCTCTAACCCGGGTAAGGCTACAAACATTTTTGCAATCACGAACGATGTTAGGCTGATGTCAGAGTCCGCGATCCGTCGCAGGTTTCGCTGATTTTCGCGATTTGCGCGATTCAAGCGATATCCGCGATTTCACGCGATATCTCGATCAATTGCGATAAGCGCGATTCAACGGCGATAAGCGCGGTCAACGGAAGTACGACCGTGCCCGATCATACTACAAGGTGTTCTCCAATCCTGCCGCCAATTCTGCTTGATAGAGATGGCTGAATGACAACTGCTCATGATTCCACTTGTTCCATATTCAGTGTTCAAATAGGGCATTTGCGATTTTTGCGATCCGTCGCAGGTTTCGCGCAAGTCGCGAAAATCGCGTGAATCGCGCAAATCGCGAAAATCAGCGAAACTTGCGACTTATCACGGACTCTGGCACCAGCCTTATTCCCTTTTCAAGTCAGTCATCTCAGCTGCGGATAGACCATTTTAATCATCCATCCCTCACTGAGTTACTGACATGCAAAGGCCGATGTCAGAGGCCGGACGCAATAGTCGTCGCACGAAACCGCGGTCGCAAATGGAAGGCGACGCGGTCACCCAATGCTAACCCAGACAACACGTGACTGCGCGTGATCGTATTTCGAAAGTCCCACTGTAGTGTGGAATAGTAGCTGCGTATTGATCTACGACACTTACCGCGTCGCCTTCCATTTGCAACCGCGGTTTATGCGACACTTGCGGTCGTTGCTGTCGTCCGACAGCAGCGGTCGTAAGTGTCGCAGGTGTCGCAGATCGATACGCACCCAATGCTGTGCGACACTTGCAGTCGTTGCTGTCGTCCGACCGACTATGCGTCCGATGTCAGACTTTGCGAATCGCGCGATTCGCTAGCGTCTGCGGTCGCGTCGCGGCCAGTGAATCACTCAATTGGCTGGTACCGCAACGCGACCGCGGACGCTAGCGAATCGCGCGATTCGCAAAGTCTGACATCGGCCTAAGTGAACATTACGCAACGCGGACAATGTTCACTCTTTGCATGTAGTGACTACTCATCTCCTCACCAAGAATTCTGCTGATTGATTGCTCTCACTCCTCTGCAAACCGAGCCCTACTTCAGCTCATAGATACAAGAAAATTAAAATGCTTGTCCAATTGTAGTGCATTATAAGTGGACAAATATGGCACTGTATTTTGTATCGCCAGCTAATAATTGCAATGATATTAGCATTAACAGCGTCGAAACAGTATTGAGAAGTATCCTACCCAACAGCTCGAGGTCTTTTCGGAAGTTAATTCTTCCCTTCTGCCTAGGAGACGGTAAAAGCACTTCGACTCTGTAAAGTAGAAGTTAAGTATTTATAAGCTCAACGATAACTACCAGTTCCACTGAACTCTCTAGTAAAAGTAGTTTAGTAGAATAAAAGCTTCTAGGTTGATTCCGTCTAACGGTGATAAAATAGCACCGAAGTGAGGAAAATACTGCAAAATCACTTTGATTTCTGTGAAGAAAATTTACCTGAAATCCTTTGATTTTGTCCTATTGAACATGGAGGCATGGGTTATACAAAAGTGCTCCTCTCTAAAAACAGAATGAAATCAATAAAAGAGTAATGGCACTGTATCTGACCGCACAACCACCACTACGCGAAGTTTCTGGCGTAAAAACATCACAGGATCGATTGGGAACAAGTGAACAACAGCAAATAATTATAGATCAAGAAAAGGGTGCATCCTACGCGCAAAAGACAAGCCGATTCTGAACAACCGCAGCGCTAAGTGCATCGCTGCCAAATCGCAAATGGTCATCGAACTTGAACTTTTTTAGGATCAATGCGCAGAACAGGACTTGTACGTAATGTGTTTATGGCATTAAGAAAGAGTGCGATTCTGGATCTCATTCTTCGTTCGAATGAGCAATGAAAAGAGATTCCATAACAGCTTTTTGGCGTTATCCTCTTATCGTCAGGGGGGATTAGGTGGAGTAGTTCGTGTCGCCTACAATCACCAGATCCCCTCATATTAGTTAAACGCCATATTTTTCTCACGGGACGTTGACACATGAACGCAAAACAAGAACGATGTTATTCACCCCACACTGGATTTTGAAAGTAAAATAAATTGTTATCCAAGAAAGAGACTGCAAATGACAGACGGTGGCACGAATCAATGGGAGCGGAAGGATCTCGTAAACAATGCGGCCTGCGCTGATTTTATCGAGGCACTAAAGTGCTGGCAATCAACGCTGCCTGTTGTGTAAACGACCTCTGCTACGACCACACGACCCTCGACCGACAAGAGCGGTCTTCAGACTAGGGTTAGTCAACGACAGATATTCTTTGATAGGGTGGGGTCGTATCATTCAGCTCCCTGGGAGGTGAGGTTTTTGGGAAATAGTAGTAGTAGGCCTCAGTTAAGGTATAAGGACTTACTGGGCCGATGTTTGAGTTCGTTTAAAATTTTTGAAGTGTGGTGGAATTTCACAATTTAAGAACTTTTACTGCGTAGGTGCTAAGTTGGTTGGGAGTTAGGGGGGGCAGGCGCCGCACCGGGGCGCGCGTCGCGTCCGCGCCCTCTCAGCGAGATAGTGCGAATATGCACATTCCAACTTTTCACGCATACCAAATGATTCGCCCCAATCACAAATTAAGCCCCAATCACATCCCTAAACTTACTGCTACATTCGGCTTGGCGCAAGAATCCTATCATCGCCTGCGCACAGCTGGCGATGTTTCCCTCACCTCATGTCTGGCGGAGGCAGGCTCATACTGTCTAAACAACAGGGGCCGGGTGCAGCAAGCCCCAACTAGGGGAGGGATCCCCAACCTTGGGGACATATCCCCAACCTTGGGGACATATCCCCAACCTTGGGGATATATCCCCAACCTTGGGGATATATCCCCAACCTTGGGGATATATCCCCAACCTTGGGGATATATCCCCAACCTTGGGGATATATCCCCAACCTTGGGGATATATCCCCAAGGTTGGGGATATATCCCCAAGTTGGGGAGGGATCCCCAAGGTTGGGGATCCCTCCCCTAGTTGGGGCTTGCTGCACCCGGCCCCAGATACGAAGTGCGTAAACTCTTCTCTATGTGCATAGATTCCTACTTGTTGAAATCCATCCACCGCAGGAGGTGACATTAAAAGGGTCCAACATAACTCTAAGTCTCTAGTCACACGCAACAAATTCCTCGCTCTGCACTCAACGGCGTGAACATGCAGCGCCCGTTGCCTGACCTCCCCTCAACCTTAAACCCGCCAACTAACCTAGCACACTTTTACTCCTGTTCGTTCGAAGAACATTCATTGGACAAAACAAGGCAGTAAGGGGTGAGAGCAGGAACTAGGATAAAAGCAGAGAAGGTTGTTCGTACGAAGTGGACAAGTTGAGAATGTTTACTGATGGAAGTAGAAAATGCAAAGAAAGGATACAACCAATGATGGAAATGATAAAAAGTCAAAGGTCAAAGATCGTTCGAAAAGTAAACCGATGGCGCCCACGCGCAGAAATTTGCCCGAGAGGGCAGTTCCCGTAAAAGAACCTTATGCGAGATTTCCGGATCTTCTGTATATCTGTTCTTGAAAGGTCCTTTAGCATATATTAGCCGAAAAAAACATAGCAATGACTTCTGCGTTCTTTGATACCAGTAAAGGTTTCCGTGTAAGGCTGGTGTCAGAGTCCGCGATCCGTCGCAGGTTTCGCTGATTTCAGCGATTTTCGCGATTTGCGCGACGGGTCACGGTAACCACAAGTGCCCCATCAATACTGCAAGGTGTTCTCCAATGCCGCCGCCACTTCTGCTTGATAGTGATGGCTGAATGACGACTGCCCTCATGATTCCACTTGTTTGATATTATAGAATCTAGAATTATAGGATAGAATAGGAACGAATCATGAGCATTTCAATGAACTGATAGACATTGAACATGAAACAAGTAGAATCACAACAGTCGTCTTTCAATCTTCACTGTCAAGCAGAATTCGCAGCAGGATTAAACAACACCTCGCAGTATCATCGGGCACTTCCAACTCCTGTGATCCATCGCAGGTTTCGCGCAAATCGCGAAAAATCGCTGAAATCAGCGAAACCTGCGACGGATCGCGGACTCTGACACCAGCCTAAATGTTGAATCAGAAAGCTGACCCCTGATTGATACAATTGTTTTGTCAGGCTATAGAGAAAACCCCTCAAGATCAGGAGGAGGGTGAAGTGCAGAGCGATTGGAGGCGAAGTCTTTAATATTGGGGGAAAACCGGTTTGAAAGCTTTACGAAGGAGATAAAACGGATCAATTTGAAGCCAGCTTTTCACGCGATCCGTAGCGGGTGGCGGCAAGGAGACGAAGGAGACGATGGGCTTTACAAATTAATATGATTGTGCCGGCACTGTATAAGAAACGGAAATCTTCGAGACGTCCAAAAGCAATAGTCAATTTCCATAAGGCTCATGAAGTTCATAAAAATACGATGAAAAAAGCGATGGTATGCTATACGAAGTTATTACGAAAAAAATCATTCAGCATTAATTAAAAAAATAGTCATCACTTGGCCTTATACTATTGCTTTGTTTAACACATTGCAGCCCGCGTGCATCGCGGTATGCACATCCGTTTTGTGCTCTCCCCCAATCTTTTTTCATTACATTTGTGAACATAGCACTTCCACTAGTGCCTTGAACCCTCTAAACACATGGCTGCTCCCCATCTTCAAATTCAAAAAAAAAACTTTTGGAGTGTTCAACTTGCACAACAGTGCCTCAGTTTGAACCCTCAAAAAAGTTTAACAATAAAATCCAATGGCTACCGATTAACCACAAACATTTTCTAATGGAAAGCCGACCAAAAAACTTGCAATATGCGAAAAAAAGCGAGGAGAAATAGAAAGAAAGGACAAAAGCAATACGTTGCCAGCGCAACGAGGAGGTTGTAGTTGAGATTGTGTAGGATCCTGTGGCGATATACATGGGTCTTCTAACGAGATGTACGGGTCCTGTAGGCGAATCCCAACAAAATTGCCCCAATGGTGACACTTGTACCGCCGGTTGCGGCCTTGCACTGTAGTGTAAACATTACAGAAGGGAGTCTTCACCCAAAGAGCGGGTCCCCCTTCCTAGCAGGGTCAATCCGTTCGTTCGAACTATTCGAATGGAGAGTCGTATTTGCGATTTTTGGGGCGTGTTTTGAGTTGATCAGGGCTATCCATCTGATGGAGAAGCTGGACGGAGTCGCTTGTGTAAGAAGGGGTCGTAGTGCGAAAGAAGAGGGTCGTTTTTGACGGATTTCGGCGGAAACTTGAAGAAAGAGCGTAAAATAAAGAAAAATGAAAATCCTCGCTCCTCAGACATTTCTGGAACCCCCGCCTGGCCATAGAAGCAGTCGTGATGGTGAGGGGGGTGCAAAGATGTCTGAAAAGGTGTTGGTTGGGGTGGAAGCGGTCAAGCGTGCGTTGAGGAATCCTCGACATGTCACAGGGGGGGGGTCGTATTGGCCCGCTGGAGGAAGAGATCGGGCCCGATTGATGCAGTAGGATCATCGTCGGAGGACAAACATCAAGGATCGAATCGATGCCAGGCCAGAGGATTCCAATAACAACGTTATTCCGCCCACATAAAATTTTCGTTATTTCAAACGGGTCCGCGTAGTCATTCTTGAATTTTTTCACAATCTTTAGCAGTTATCGCAACCGTCAAATAGAACAAATCTTCCAGTTTATGATGACATGATGACGTGTTAGCTTTTCAAGTTGAACGAATACGAATGGAATTATGGCTTTGGAAATTGTAAAAAAAATAAAATAAAAAAAAAATAAAATAAAAATAAACTCGCACTCATCACGAATTTCCCTAGTTAATTTTGCAAGAAACCTCAACGTGACCATTTTTTAATACTAAACTTGTTAAACTGCCAATTCTTCTAGTTTTGTCTGCCACATTATCTTCTCAGATTTGATGAAAATGAGGCAAGTTATGGCTTTAGGAAGTTTGAAAACTTGCACTCATCCCGGATTCGTATAACTTCGTATAATGTATGCTATAATTACCTAAAATTAGTTATTTCTTATTATTTTTCGTAATTTCAAGAACGTTAATTAGAAAGAGCTCTTCACAATAGATATTTTTTTTGTTGTTTTTTTGGTTCTTCAAATCTACTTTTAGGTTGAGAATTGGTCATAATTTAAAGAAAGTTACAATCAATAATACTTCTTTAATTAACGACTTTTTTGGTGGAGGGTTTGGCAGCAGTGCTTTTTTAATGAACACTTTTTTTGAGGGGGGGGGGGGGTAGGATTAAACAACCTTTTCATAGTTAGGCTAGAAGAGGGTCGTTTCATAGACTTCGGCTTCTGGTTGGGGGGGGTCGTTTTTCACAATTTTCTCAACGCATCGCTTGAAGTGGGTGGAAGTGAGGGTCGCAGGTCCCATGTGGGGACCTCTCATTATCTTTGTATGGGAGAAGTCGCGACCCTTCTGAAGGAGGGTCGTGTTGCGTACACCCCCATCCCCTTGGGGTGTAAAACTTCCCAGAATGTAAGAAATGCGAAACTCTGTCCCCCAAAGAATAGCTCGTACGGACTGTGTCGTGTAAAATTTATCAAGGAGATGAGATGTGATGTAAAGGTTCGTGTTACCTACAGCTTCCTTATTTTCGGGGAGAGAGGATAGGGGAGGTAAGGCTGGGTGGGGTGTAAAAGCGGAAGCGAAATAGTCCACGCACGAAAGGGTTTTGCTTCACCTGTGAGGACTGGAAGTACTTCGGTCACAACAACTAGCGCACACACATATCTCTGTCTCTGAAGGCTCAAGTGTAGTTTAAGTATCGTGGCAAATCAGTTCGTCCCGGCAACGGTAATCCCATTTTTGCAAGAGAAGAAGCTTCGGGGTGGCAGATCCAGTTTGCTTGTGCAGAAAGGAAACAACTGAGTATTGAGACTGAAATGTTTGCCATAGTTTTGAATGCCTTAGGAGCTTAGCGTGATGACGATCCGCACCCATGCGCCCCGGAAAAAAAGCACGCTCGAGCCTAGGCATGTAAACTTGCTGTGTTAATAAGCCCCTAGTACTCAGCACCCCTCTCCCTTTTTAGAATTGACCCCAATTTGAATTGCTAATGAATGCTGAAGCTGCCGAAATTTTGCACTTTGAGGCGGGTTGCTCAACTGACTTTTTCTAGTTGGAGGCTTCCCGATAACTAAGGAGCCCGTGCATTACTCGAAGAAGGTTCACTTTAAACATATGTGAGAGGCGGATCACGAGAAGAAACAGAGGCGAGGAGCTACCGGAGTTTACAGCACAACAACTGGGGCGGGGCTTGGTCAATGGAGCGCGGCCACACCGTGGAGCGCGACGTTCCTGGCGTAGGCTTATTTACTATAACTTATCGACTGATAATTTTTGCTGGCATTTTTTAGAGACGAGAGGTATGCGATATCAACTCCATTTTTGTTGCAGTACCCTTGGTTTTGCCACACAATTACCGACTTTCTTTTCTTCGAACAGTTGCTACGCATCTCCATAAGTTAAACTCGTGTGTTGGACCGGTCCTTCTTGAAAGGAAGGCGGCGCATTTCCCTGCTTTTGAAAAGAACAACGTGTCCGAGTCTATAATGGCGCGTCCAAAGCTCTCAACGGCATGAGCAAAACCGGCTGAAAGCAGTTTTTGTTTTTAAAAAAGAATGCAGTTAAGAAATACGAAACATAACGACACTTCTTTATGATGCGCCAGAACTTCATTTCTGTGTTTTTCTCTTCTTTTTTTTTTGCTAATTTCCCGCATTTCTTTGGTGCGAAGAGGTACCCAATTGTGAGCCAAGATATGGGGTTTTTGTAAGTAAGTAGCGAGCTCCGGTGTGGAAGCATCAATCTAGGACTATGCCCAGGACAGGGAGGGAGGCAGAGTCAAGTGAAAATTTTCACCTACCTCCGCTGAGACATGGTCCTAGACGTTAACAATATAAAAAGTTTGTCCTGGTTTCAAGATCGTGGGGCGCCCTGCGCTGCAGCCCCGTTCGTATTCGCCAGCCTAACTCGTTACTATTTTTTTTTTGAGTAGGACTAACCATAAACTAACGAGAGAAAGGCCTGGGAGGAGAAATTGCTCACATCCTTTCAGGATCCCTTCCCCTCCATAAGGCATAGGTTAGTCCCAAGTATTCTAAGTGGGTCACTCACTTCAATGTCCCCCCCCAACTGACATGAGCGTCGTGAATAGGAAGCTGTGTACTCAGGGTGTGGCTCATTAGCGTGAAACCTTCGCTGCGGTAACGTCAGGTCCTCCGCTATTCATCGAAGTGGACGCTTCGGCGTTCCGAGTGAAAAAGGTTTCACTTCAATGTCCGCCGCCCCCCACTGACATGAGCAATCGCTGCGAAAGCGAAAGAGTCGGCTTTGCTGTCTTAGCGAACAACGCCCAGTGTACTTGTGCTCAGATCTGTGAATTACAAGTGGACAAGTGAATTCAAGTACCGTGGAACTTGCTTAACCTTTTAGTTCTCATCTATCAGCTGAATGAAGTTCCGAAGCTAAGACTTTGGCATGCTCTGGTGCTTTGATTTCTCGAAACAGTCCGATTAATTTAATTTTAGTAGATAGTTTTCCTCCAAATTCAAGTATTAGCTCATATATTGAAGTGTTAGCCCGCCGCTCTCATACTTCGCGATTTGGGAGATCAAGAAGAGCGATAGCATATTGCGGAGCATAGGACATTCACCTGGAAAGATTAGATGTTCTTAATTAGAGGTTTAGTATTCTAGACGTCTACATCCAGGTCAGCCAAAACTTATGCATTTATCTAATTTTTTTTTCAGCGGATTATCCCTAGCTACTAATTGCCCTAACCTAGCTGTCTGATTACCCTATCAAACATACTTTTTTGGTGTAGCCTAATGTCCTGATCCATGTAGTCGCAAAGTATAAATCGGTTTTAGGTCGATATCAGACACGTGCACAACGCTGTATCTCGCAGAACTTCCAACTCCGTTGATGATTCTGTTTTCCAAGATCGCTCCTACTAGAATCCTTCTTCATTTCAGAGGACCCAGCGAGTCTCTTTTCGCCGATCTGGCACCGGATGAGGTGGGCTAAACTCCGGCAACCGACCGAAAGGTCTGCCGTTTTTTATCCGTGAATCGAAACCGAGTCGAATCACATTAGTGAGGGTACGTTTCTCCATTTGTGGCTTTTTTGTGGAATACTTTTTTGAGACATACTATCCAAATCTTGTTCACTGTTGTTTTGCAATTTTCATACATCTTATATTCTTCAAATGTGGGAGCAAATTCACTGCAATTAATGGAACGAATATCACGAATACCTATATTGGTGTAGCTTTTATATTAATTTCTGTTGTGAAAGGGGTTTCCATTAGTACCTTTCTAATTGTAAGATTTTTTCAAAATGATAGAGGAGAGTGCCTATCTTGTTGAAAAATCTGACAAAAGGTGTTGTTGACTCTATAACTTGCTGAAAATCGACATTTAATCTACTATTTTGTAATACTCTCAACTTCGTCACCTCTGGGAATTTCTATTCCTAATTTACTCACTGTTAGGTTTTTTGGTGCCGGAAAGTGCTATTGGCGGTCATATTTCAGCTATGGCGTTCACTTCCTCGTCTGAAGAGAACCGTGATACTAATAGTGTTGCTGGCACTGACATGCGTCTTCACATTCATTATTGCCTCGCCTTTCATCAAGATAGCCGACGACGCATCGATGGATATGCTGGACACAGTTCGTAATGTAGGTGCTTATTCGTTGTCAAATCTCAAAGAGGATGATTTCTCAAAAAAGGACGACATTTGGCTTATTTTATAGTTGTTATAGCTACTCGATAGAAGTTCCTCATTTTTGTTCCTCAGATATCTGCCTTATCCTTCAGATTCACCATCAGTTTTCCGTTGCACCCTCTCAAACAGCGGTACAAAACCAGTCTCACGTTCCCAGTTTCACCGGTACGTTTTATCTGAACTGCTTCTAGCATGTTTCACTAGTAAGCATTTGTCAATTTGCGCTTCTTGTGTTTCTATTTTCTTTTCGATTAGTACCATTCTTTTACCAGCTTGGGATTTCTTAAACCTCGTAAAATAAATGGTTTTTAAGCCCTGTTTTTCTTAATGAGGGCGGAAGTGGTGTAGTGGCAAGTGGCACGCTTACCACGCGAGCGGTCCGGGGATCAAATCCTGGGTCGTGAGTCGCCCGGGCCAACCAAGCCTTCCATCCCTCCGGGGTCGGTTAATTGGTACCAGACTTGTCTGGGAGGATAAAAACACTGACTTGTACATCGGCTGGCCCCGCAAGTCATTGTATAGGCCACATCGCATTCAAACGCCACTACGAATGTACAAATAGAATGCGTGCCGCATCCCAAAAGGGATTGATCAACGGCAAATGCTTTATCCTTTATCCTTTCTAAATGAAGGTCACGAAGTCAAACTACTCGAAATACCTCAAGCAAGCTTCACTTAAAAGCTCACATAAAGGTCCGCGACTGAAGAAGTTGAAGCTGCTTCCTACGCATTTCAGAGGTGAGTTTTTACTTCAGTGACAGTTCCTTTCGACTTCACTTGGGCTGGGGCATGCTTCCACACCTCAGCTTTGGATTAGTTGAAACCCTCCCTGGACTGTTGCTTTAAGTCAATATCTTGGCAAACAATGCCTCAATGCTGGTGCCTCGCCCTGTGAATTTCGTGACATGTGCATTCCAACGCTTTTTATCAGATCTTGTCAGCAGTTATCACTTTCTGTCCCCTGCCAAATATGTTTCCGTCCCACCCCCTATATCATATCCTGAAATCAACTCCAGTGACTGCTGGTAGGCGCGCTACGAATTTCGTGACAAACACACACAGACCTACACACACGCACAGACATACTTAGCGAATAATATATAGTAGGATTATACTCAGAAACCAAGTTTCCAAGGACACAAAACGTGTCCAGCTAGCTGCTTATGCCCTGTGGGTTCATTGGATCTAGAACGTTCTTATAGACGCTCTCACCATTCGCACGAAGGACGCTACAGCATCATCAAAGAATAGCTATGCGCATTTTTACTTCGGTTTCGTCAGTGCTTGAACTTTCCTCAATGGTCCTGCCGCGAATGTAGTGCACGGACCGATCGAGAGCACTGCGCCTGGACACGATCTCGGAGGAAAGTGGGAGTCCAAATACCAAGACTTGGATGGAAGGAGGACTCCGGGATGGGCGAGCCTATTGCAGTGTGGGCAAAGTTTGAATGTGTGAGACCACAGTAGTCAATAGCAGCTGCTTTATTCAAGAGAGCGCAGGCAATAGACCAAACTGAAGGTGGTCTAAAGGACCGGCAAAAGGCTCCGCAAGCCCATTTTTCCAGCATTAGCAGCTACGCTGAAGGTGATAGTTCTGCATCAC